TTGCTTTATGTTTGGTCTTTATTTGGTAAATGTATTCATTGTAGTATTTGGTTTTAGACACCTGGGGGTAGTGGTGCGTACAGGTAAGGGTGGATATAGGTAGGAAGTGTTTTTTTACCAGCGCATGAGATTTGTTTGCTCACCTGAAACAGCAATAAACTGCCTAAAGGACAGGAGTTTTTTTTTTAAGTTTAATTTAATTTTCGTTAAAAGTTTGTTTGACAAACGGCTACTACAGTTTCTAATAGTCTGTCAGTTGCACAAAGATTTGTATTTTATTTCAATTGCATGTTATTGTGATTCCTTATCATTTTTTAATTTATTGTTGTATTTTTATGTTTTAGTGGTTGAATGTTCTGCTTGTAAAAAAGGGCAATGGAGTTAGAACTCCTAATTAGTTGAAAATGCTCAAACAACAAAGCTCAGAGCGTGAATTAAAGCTCCTCCTGATGCAAAGGAGAGACAAAAAAAAAGACACAAAGTGTCCTCAGTGTGTCAGCTTTGGAAACCCCCAACCCTCCAAGGGACCTAAAAACCAGAGAACCTGACAATAGGGAGAGGAAACCACCAGAAGGATGGAGGGAGAAGAAGTTTAAGCTGATTCTGAGAGGAAAGGGGGAGAAAAACCACCAGAGGAAGGATGGAGGCTGTTATCAAAAACAGAGAGAAGAAGTTTAAGCTGATTCTTAGAGGAAAGGGGGAGAAAAACAACCAGAGGAAGGATGGAGGCTGTTATCAAAAACAGAGAGAAGAAGTTTAAGCTGATTCTTAGAGGAAAAGGGGAGAAAAACAACCAGAAGAGGGATGGAAGCTGTTGTCAAAAACAGAGAGATGAAGTTTAAGCTGATTTTTTTAGGAAAAGGGGAGAAAAACAACCAGAAGAAGGATGGAAGCTGTTGTCAAAAACAGAGAGATGAAGTTTAAGCAGATTTTTTGAGGAAAATGGGAGAAAAACAACCAGAGGAAGGATGCAAGCTGTTGTCTAAAACAGATATAAGTTTAAGCTGATTCTGAGAGGAAAGGGGGAGAAAAACAACCAGAAGAAGGATGGAAGCTGTTGTCAAAAACAGAGAGATAAAGTTTAAGCAGATTTTTTGAGGAAAAGGGGAGAAAAACAACCAGAGGAGGGATGGAAGCTGTTGTCAAAAACAGAGAGATGAAGTTTAAGCTG